CCCAAAATCCATAGTCTCCTCTTAACTGAGAGAAAACTAAGCAAAGCTCAGTCAGATTGCATATACACTGCACAATTACAAATACAATTACTTCCTCACCTCTATATTTCTATTGCACCATCCTACAGAATTCTGGGATTTGTAGTTGAGCCGCTGCTAAAGAGCTTTTGTGTTGAGTTTGTCTGAACTATATAACACTAGAAGGTCAGTGTGGTGTAGTAGTTTGAGCATTGGACTTTGAATCTGGAGACCAGGGTTCGATTCCCAGCTCAGCCATGAAACCTGCTGGGTGATCTGGGCCAAGTCACACTCTCTCAGCCCCAGAAAACCCTGTGGTAAGTTCACCTCAAGTCAGAAATTGACTTGAAGTCACACGATGACAATAAATAATACTAGAGAGCCAGTGGTTTGAGCCTTGGATTAGGACTCTGGACACCAGGGTTTGATTCCCAGCTCAGCTGTGAAACCCACTGGGTGACCTTGGGTGAGTCACACTTTCTCAGCCTTGGGGAAGGCCATGGCAACCCCCCCAAACAAATCCTAAGAAAATCCTAGGATAGGGTTGCCATAAATCAGAAATTACCTGAAAGCACACGACACACACATAGAGTGCTCTAGCCAAGACATCTAAGGTCCTCTCCAAACTACAGATCCCACAGTTCCATAGGCGGGAGCCGTTGCAGTTCAAGGGGCAGCAAGCTGTTGTAACTCCACGGTGTGGGTAGATTCTGGTTCCCCTCCTTCCATGAGGCTGTTATGTGTCAAGAGTTAACATGTTGTAGCAGCTTTGGGAGTCTCAGGTGGCAGGAGATGCACAGCTGTCGGTACCTAATTAAATTCTTAACAAGTGGTGCCGTAATTATTAATGCTGAACACTTCCTAGCGAGCGAACAGGCGGAGATGCTGCGAAGTGGCATGCAAGAAGCTGGCAGAGGATAACACAATTTAAATAAAATAAAATAAAATAAAATAAAATAAAATGGCCAGTATTTGCTATCAGAGTCACTTCTTCTGCTCTGGTCCCCTATCAGGAGCAATATTTGCCCACGCTCCGATCCCTGGAATAATGTATCTTTGTCTCCCCATTCTTGATGAAACAGTGTAGTTGTTGCTGTTGTTGTTGTTGTGTGCCTCCGAGTCTTTCCCAATATGTGGCAACCCTAAGGCAACCCCATCACAGGGTCTTCTGGGGCTGAGAGTGTGTGACTCGCCCAAGGTCACCCAGTGGGTTTCCATGGCTGGGCAGGAATTTGAACCCTGATCTTCAGAGTTGTAGCCCAGTGCTCAAACCAGTCACCTATTGGGTTTCCATTGCTGAGCGGGAATTGAACCTTGATCTTCAGAGTTGTCACCCAATGCTTCACAGGGTTTTCTGGGGCTGAGAGTATGTGATTCACCCAAGGTCACTCAGTGGATTTCCATGGCCAAGTGGGGATCCAAACCCTGATCTCCAGAGTGAAAGTCCAATGCGCAAACCACTACACCACACCGGCACTCTTGAGAACTATATTTCAGGCAAATTCTGCACCAAAGCTCTATATCAGAGTTGTTGTTGTTGTTGTTGCTGTTGTTGCTGTTGTTGTTGTGTGACTTCAAGTTGTTTCCAACTTATGGCAACTCTAAGGTGACCCTATCATGGGGCTTTCTTGGCAAGATTGGTTCAGAGGAGCTTTGCCATGGCCATCCCTTGAGGCTGAGAGAGCGTGATTTGACTAAGGTCACCCACTGGGTTCCATGGCCAAGCAGGGAACCAAACCCTGGTCTCCAGAGGCAAAATCCAATGCTCAAACCTTTTTTAAAAAATGTAACTATAATGGCAACCAATTACTTTTGGAGCTCAGATGCATAGCTGTAACTAGTTACTTTTGAAGTCACTTTCCAAACACTGAAGTACAGTATATGATTATAAGTTTGGAGTTAGTATAAATGATCTCTCAATCACTTTCTGTTTGTGTCTTAGCCCTGCAGATCTCTTCTTTAAAGTTCAAACTAAATCCTGGAGCGGATTCACAGCCCACCGACATGGAAGCAAATAGCCATTGCTGGTATCAGGAATCCTTTACAAACATTTTATTTTTATTTGTTTGCAAGGTATATTTGCATTGGTCTGCTGCCCGCCTGTATAAACAGAACTGGGATTGAAATGGAGCACTCGTAAGAGTTATGCGAATTTGCAAGCCTTATTATGTACTAATTGGAAAGCACATAAAAAAAAACAATGTAAACAGACTTTTATAATTTAGCAATTTGTTCAGAATCCGGGACAAATGCAGGGAGAGAATTAGTTGAGCCAAATCACCCATGCCTGCTGGTAATATACGAGATGGTGTTTAATATAAATAGTGAGTCAGGTTTCTTTAAGTCAAAAGAAACACACAATGTGTACAGACAAGGGAGGTCTGTTTAGGATTCGAATCACTAGGCTTTATTCTCTGCCACTCCTGGATTTTCTATCCCGACTCTCCTATAGGCTACTTTTGATGTTTTTAATATTTTTAATAATTTTGATAACTATTATTATTATTATTATTATTATTATTATTATTATTATTATTAATCAATGATGATGATGATGAAGAAGAAGAAATTTTAATAATAGCCAGCATGGCATAGTGTTGGATTATGACTTTGGAGACTAGGGTTTGATTCTCAGCTTTACCATGAAAACTTCTTCTCCTTCTTTCTTCTTTGGGGTGACATTGGGCAAGTCACATTCTCTCAACCTTAGGGAAAAGCCATGGCAAACCTCCTCTGAACAAATCTTGCCAAGAAAACCCCAAGATAGGTTTGCCTTAGGGTTTCCGACTTATGGAGACTCTCAGGCAAATCTGTCTTGGGGTTTTCTTGGCAAGATTTGTTCAGAGGAGGTTTGCCATTGCCTTTCCCCTGAGGCTGAAAAAGTGTGACTTGCCCAAGGTTTCATGTTGTTCTGTTCGCTTCATGGCTGAGTGGGGATTTGAACCCGGGTCTCCAGAGTGGTAGTCCAACATTCAAACCACTAGACCACACTGGCTCAGCACTTGGATATCTTCTTTAAAATTTAGATTAAATCACAGAGCAGATTCACTGCTTCCCCCTGAAATAGAAGAGACCAGTTTTCCTCTACTGAACCCACAATCTACATGCAAAGTAGATCAGACTGGAGCAAAAGCAACTGTCCTAAGCTCACACCATAAGTTGCACAGCTCAGCTGTCACATAAACCTGCATCTGCCCAGCCCTGACCCAGTGCTCTAACTATTGCACTACGCTATCTCTTATTAAACCCAATTTCCGCTCCAATATTACTTACACATATTTGGCTAAGCTGAATTCAAACATTGGCAATGGCATTCTCCATGTGCGTGCATTTTCTTTTTTAATACCGTAAGCCATCAATTAGGTAAGCAGGAAATTAGAAATGGGCAGAGCTCACGCTTGATGCCAACCCCAGTGGCATGGACTGGGTGGAAATGAATTAATTTGGAGTCCCTGCCAAATGTTTGGAATTAATTTGATTTTTCAAAAGGACCCAGTCAGAGCTGACACCGCTTCCAGGATCCGTGGCATTCCTGATGTCACGGGGAGATTGCCACCTCCTGAAAACCACCCACTGTTCCTCAAATTTACAAAGATCAGAAGGTGGCATGAGTCCTTCTCTAGGAAAAAAATCAGAGCCAGTGTGGCGCAGAGGTTTGAACATTGGACTACAACTCTGGAAACCAGGGTTCGATTCCTGGCTCGGCCATGAAACCCACTGGGTGACTTTGGGCAACTCACACTCTCTCAGCCTCAAGGAAAGGCAAGAGCAAACCTGCTCTGAACATCTTGCCAAAGAAAACACACACAAAATGGAGGAAGCAATAGAGCTTTAGACTCTTGGTGCTTAGTGGTATCATGCAATGTTCCTGGTATCCATAGTTTGAACAAGTGGCAGGTGGAAAGGAGAGAGGGCCTCTGACCAGTTGCTGGGGTCCAGGCTCAATGGAGCTGTGCCTGGATGCTCTTCTCTCCCTCCGAGGCCAAAGCAATGGCAGTTGGAACACAGAGGGAGGGCTTCTGATGAACAGCTCTCCCAAGGCATTGGGTCTGGCTGGTCTTCTCTCCCTCTGAAGCCTGAGCAATGGCAATTTGAGCATGGACAGATGACCTCCCACCAGCCATTGTG